ATGATTATATCGATATCGGTGTCGCCGTCGCCCAAGACATCCGCCATTATATTCTTCTCGTGCGCCGTCTTCATACTCACCCTCTGTCTCATCACTGAGTTTTACCTCAAGAATAATGTGAGTGTTTTTTTGGGGGAGGGGCAGGCATTTGGGACTTGGGGCCCAGATGTTATTAGTTACTATTTCTGGTTATATTGTCAAATAATTAATGGTTAATTATTTTTAATAGCTGAATTACATAAGTTATCATAATTATTGAGATTCCCCGTAACGTTACATTACTTTCCATGATATCAAACATTTTAATTAACTGCACCCACATAAATGTTTTATTTCAGGGAAAGTAATATAACGTTAAGGTGAATCTCAATATTTATGGTAGCTTATGTAATTTAGCTATTAAATTAATTAATTATAGTTTCATGATTTATAATATAAAATTTAAATATTCATCTTTAGCAATAATGTACTTCCCTTTAAATAATATATTTATGTGATGCAAGTACATAAATATTACTTTAAGTAGCTTAATATTATTATAATATAAATTCCCTAGGTTTTATTTGATAAATTTTAGTAGAATTTATAATCAGTTCATTGAGTGGTTTTGAGTACTCAATAAAGTTATTATTATGAATATTTAATATACAAGGAAACTCTAACTCGTAAGCCATATAACATAAAAATGAGCTAATATACCAGAATATTATATTTTATTAATAAATTTAACATATTTTCACAGAATTTCTATATCTATCACACGGAGAAAGAGGTAGAATCGGAAATATTCTACAATAATATCCGGGATAACAGCCAATCGGAGGGCCAGAGCGGTAATAGCATGCAGGAGCCTGACCTCCGCGGTATATACCTCTACAAACACGTGCTCAAAAAGATCTGGCTCCAACTCCTCAACATAATAATCATATATTTCGTGTCATTATCCGTATTCCCGGCGCTGATGGCCGACATAAAGCCACTGAACGGCATTATAGACGAGAAATACTTCGCACCGGTATTTTGTTTCCTATCATTCAATTTATTCGCCACTTTTGGTAATTTCATCGCACAATACGTCCAAAAGCCGGGCCCTAAATATCTCATCATATTCTCGATCCTACGACTACTTTATATACCGTTTTTCCTATACTGTAACTATCGGCCAAATAATGTCGACCGCAGTC